AAAGTAACGGAAAAGTAAGATAAAACTCCAAATAGAGAAACATATATGTTAAAATAAATACCGTCAACTGTTTTGGTTAACTCCGTTTTTTCAAAATCCCATTCAAAAACCCAATTAGCAAAAAATTCTTCTAATTTATTTTTTAAAACTTTGATTCCTGCGGTTCTCACAGTATATTCAAACGGACCGTTAAAAATCTTTCGAGTTTAACATGAAATTGATAAATTTTAGTACTTTTAGTCTTAAAAAAAATTTTTAACAGCTAATCATTCCAACCTTACTCTGTACATTTCATAACCCAGTTCAAGCATTCTTCTTACTCCAGAATCATGCAAATTTGCATCAAGATATTCAATGATGGTTTTTGACTTTCCTTCTTTATCTTTAATCGCCTTTTTTACGTAACCTAATTCGATCGACTTTTTGTGTAAAATGAAATAAAATATACTCAGGTTTATTATAAAAGTCAAATGAAAATTTTTTATAGTATTATACTTACAATATGTATCCAATAATCAGGTTCGGGTTCGTAAATCACAAGACGATTTTTTTGCGTGTGAACATTTTCACAAGGTTTTGAGGGCGAGAATACCCTGCAATTTGGCGCAGCAATAGAGAATACTATATTTAAAAATGGCATTCGGTCAACAATTGTTTTCAAATCTAAGTTGCTGATCAAATACTGCCTCATTGCAATATTCCACAATTATTTAAACATACACTTTATAAACTGACTTATTATAGTTTAAACCTACAAATTTGTGCTCAAAAGTAGATCACGAACCTTGTAAAGTTTATTAAACCCTGGGCAAGTCCGACTTGACGCATTTTAACATCCATTGGAACGGTGTTTTTAGAAGTATAATAGAGTAGTTGATCTTTTTGTGTTTCTTCCGTAGGGCCGAAAGAAGGGTTATAAACACAGAAGTAAGAAAGGCTTGGAGGTACGCTGACATGTCCATATGAATTGGTTGCTGGATCCATTTTTTTAAAGAAATTTCTTTTTCGTCGTACTAATTGAATGAAAATTTTTCTCAAATATTGCTTATATGTAAAATGTCACGTGAAAATACAGATCACACGATTTGTCGATAAGATCTCTGAGCATGATTTTCCTAGCAAAATTTCTCATACATTTGTATCCTTTTTTTCAATTTCTTCTTGAGATCAATAAAATCAGGCTGTAATGATAATATCCTTCTCACATAACAATCTATTCTTTGATTATCAATTAATCCATCTCGCCATTAAATTTCGTTCTTTTAATATTTCACGCATTCCTGATATATGTATGTTATTTGGTCCAAAATAAGTTGAACGCATATTTGTAGGAAAGCATAATTACATTTTTTTTTTTTATAAAAATTTAAATCTTATTCTTCAAATGGAATCTGTAAAAACTTCAAGAACAAATAATAAACTTTTAATTGTGGTTATCCTAATAAGTAATCTCTACTAATAAATAACGTGTGAATATACAAATTCGGCATATTATTAAATTATCAGTTAAATTGCAATATCATATTTTATTTACATCTTTGTTTCGCTTCGCTCCGTTATTTATCACCGAATCACGCCCTCTGTGTATAAAAGTAATCTGTTGATGAAATCCTATTTGTCACTATTATATGTCATCCAGGCTACAAAATAAACTGTAAACGCCATACCGTTTTTCTTTGCATTAAAAAAATTTTTAATTATGAGACGAGCAGAACATCACTCGAGACCTCATTATAATAATTATCAAGCTCAACAACACCAGTATTATGCACAACAGCAATATAACCAACCCCAAGATTCGCATTCTGTAATTTTAGTAACTGCTGGTTATGATCATACTATACGTTTTTGGGAAGCTTTAAGTGGAATTTGTTCAAGAACAATTCAACACCCCGATTCGGTAAAAAAAAAAAAAATAAAAAAAATAAATTATATATTTCATTGACCTTTTAACTTTTGCTAATATTAAACATTACAAAATAGCAAGTGAATAGGTTATGTATTTCTCCAGACAAAAGGTATCTTGCTGCAGCAGGTAATTTTTATTTTCTTTCAAATAAAAAACAAGTATAAATATCAGTACTAACATTTAAATTAATATTTTTAGGAAACCAGCATATCCGATTATATGATATTAACAGCCCTAATCCTAATCCGGTATAATATTGTTCCGGTTCGTGATTCGTATTAATCTCTATATTATATACATTGATTTCAAATCTAAATTTCAAAATTCTTTACTTTCAGATAACCTCTTTTGACGGACATGCCGGAAATGTAACGGCTGTTGGATTTCATTGTGAGGGAAAATGGATGGTAACTGGTAGCGAAGATGGAACCTTAAAAATTTGGGATACAAGGTAATTTGAAATTGAAATTTGAATTTGAATGTAATTACTCGTATAATAATATTGTTAATTGATATAGAGCACCGTCGATACAACGTAATTATGATCATAAGTCACCTGTTAATGATGTAGCGATTCATCCAAATCAAGGCGAATTGATTTCTTGTGATCAAAAAGGAAGTATAAAGATTTGGGATTTGGGAGAAAATTCTTGCACCCATGAATTGGTATGTATGATCAATTAATTTTCAAAATTGATATAAGTAATTTATTTATTCGCTGCGAAAATTTAACCTATTTATTGTTTTCTGTAGGTTCCAGAAGAGGATGTTCCACTACGCTCAGTTACGGTTGCTATTGATGGTTCCATGTTAGTGGCAGCAAATAATAAAGTAATAAATCATCACGCTTTCCCTTTTTTTTAATTTTTTTTAAAAAAAAAATACAACGCTTTTTTAAATTAATCACAGCCTTTGAATTTTTTAGGGTAATTGTTATGTATGGAAGATGTCAAATGCGAGAGATTGTACAGATTTACAACCTATAACGAAATTCTCGGCACATAAAAGATATATAACTCGATGTTTGTTGAGTCCTGATGTCAAGTATGTCTGTTGATATTCGTAATTTGTAGAATTTGATTGTTTGATCTTTATCAACTAAAAATTTATTAATCTTGAAGACACTTGGCGACTTGTTCTGCAGACACTACGGTGAAAATATGGTCTGCAACGAATCATGAATTCAAGTTAGACAAAGAATTAAAAGGTCATCAAAGATGGGTATGGGATTGTGCATTTTCTGCCGATTCCGCTTATCTTGTAACAGGTGAATGTTCTTATATAATCTTTGAAATTATTATTTATTATGATCCATTTATAATGCCTTTAAATGATATTTTATATAAACAGCATCTTCAGACCATGTTGCAAGACTCTGGGAATTGCAACAAGGAGAGACAATAAGACAATATAATGGGCATCATAAGGCAGCTATTTGTGTAGCACTTAATGATTTATCAATCGGAAATTGAAGACTTTGGACATTGTTTCTATGCTATAAATTTTGTTATACTTTATATTGAAATTAGATAATGCTTATATTATATTTATATTTTAATAATTAAATAAATTATAATCAAAAAAAACCCGTTTAAATCTGCTATATAAAATTAGATATTTAATTTATGATTGGAGTTATTATAGCCAATCAGAAATAAAAATTAAAAAAAAAAATAATCATCACGTGGGAATTTTTAAAAAAAAGCTCCATACAATTGAAACATGGTTGTTTTTGAAATTTTCAAAAATGTCAAATATAAAACAAGCATCAATACTTTATAACACTCTTAAGAGCGAATTTACTTCTCCAAATCCAGATTTGAAAAGATGTGGAGAATATCTAGCTAAGCTCAAGGTTTTTATCATAACAAATTGCTTTTGTAAATCATTCGAAATTGAAAAACATTTATAAAGAAACTCACTTGATAGATCGCATTATCTGAAATGCAACTTTTGCTTCCGGAAGGAGAGATTAATAATTCAGATGAACTCCTTGTTGCGCGTATGTAAATAATAGGTGAATTTATTTTTAAGGTACTTCTAATTATTAAATATTTATAATTGATAGGTGACATATTGGAGATAGGTGCGTATTGGAGCGTTCGTGCCAAAGATATACCATCATTTGAGAGATATATAGCACAATTAAACACTTATTATACTGATTATAGGTACATTTATTTATTTTTTTTTTTTTTTAATAAAAAAAATTTTCTCACAAAGATTTTATTTTTCCATTTTAATGAATAGTTCATTACTTCCACCATCACAATCAATGTATCCTTTAACGGGATTAAATTTATTGAGGTTATTATCTCAAAATAGAATTGCAGAATTTCATACGGCATTAGAGAATATTGAACCCGAACAACTCTTAGAGAATATTTACATTAAACATCCGGTTCATTTAGAACAATATCTAATGGAAGGTAGTTATAATAAAGTTTGGAATTCAAGAAATGAAGTACCTGCTCCAGAATATCTGTTTTTCATTGATATTTTGATGGGCACTATCAGGTAATTACCGATATTCATATGAAAGAGAGATCAGATTATTTCACTTATAATTTTATCTATTGCAGGAGTGAGATTGCTAGTTGCAGCGAGAAAGCTTATTCATATTTACCATTAGCTGACGCTGCTACTTTGTTATTTTTCAAGAATAATACTAATGAACTCTTAAGTTTTGCGAGAGATGTAAGCAATATTTATCATTATAATCATTTTATTTATTTATTCTATTTTTTTTTTGTTCATATATTTTTAACCCAATTTTATTTAGCGTGGTTGGAATGTGAGTGAAGCTGAAAAGAAAATACATTTTACTACTAAAGATGATGATCATGTCGAAATACCTTCGGATAGTATCATTAAACAAGCACTTACTTATGCTAGAGAATTAGAACAAATTGTTTAATAGAAATCATTATTTATGTGAAGAAATTTTACGTAATAAATCGATCCCGACTTCTTATTTCTCGCAAATAACAATTACTGAAATTTTATTGTCTTCAGAATATTCACATAAAAATAAGATTAATAGTAATTAAAAAATCAAACTACGTTTATCGTAATAGTCATTTATTTTGATTTATGCTACTAATTGAACGATACCACCAACTTTCTTTATTTTTTCTTCAGCTCTTCTAGAAACATATCTCGCTTTTACAATTAAGGGTTGATTAGGTAATTTACCTTTACCTAATATTTTACCATATCCCTATAATCGGTAAAATAAAAAAATTAACAAAATAAATAAATCAACCCATTTAAAAAAGTAATTTTGAATGATGTCGTCCACCCTACTTACCGCTCTTAAAGTATCAATAACGGGTACAACATCTTTCTTCTTGGCGTAAGTAGTTCTCGTTTGTTCAGATACCAAAGTCCATAATTTGTCCAAATTGACAATAGGGCAATGATATTGTTGTTTGGTTAAATGAAAATATCTCATACCAACTTTACCATAATACCCTGGATGATATTTATCCATATTGGTACGGTGATGATGTAGACCACCTGCAAGACCTCTTCCTCCTGGATGTTTGCGATGTTTACCTACGATCAAAGAGGGAAGATGAAAAAAAAAGAAAAAATTGATTTAAAATTGATTTAAAATTGATTCATAACAAAAAGCTCTTAATTTTGTACTTACCGATACGTCCATGCCCTGCAGAAACATGTCCGCGTTTCTTTCTATTTTTCTTGATTCTTGTAGGCTATAATCAATTAAAATCATTCGTATAATTAATGTTTTATTTTTTGCTTATTATTTTTCAATCCTATTATCTACCAAACCATCTTGCTTCATTTCTAATTATATTCGACAAGTTTTATAATTATCAAATTCTTCCTTTAATTATTAAAATTATTACTACATATTTACCATGTTTTTTAATATATTATTTCAACACGATCGGAAAAAAATTATTAGAAGGAAACTGATTTTTTATTTTAAGAAAAAAATTTTTTTTTCTCCATCATTTCTGATGATTACACAAAAAATGTTTCAATTCACGTGATGTGTGTCAGCCACATTTTTTCGTTATATCTAAAATACTTAATAATACTAACCTTTTTTAGTTTATATTAAAGTCAGCTAAATAATCATTGATTTAGCTTAATTGAAAAGATAAATATTATAAATATATCTTTCAACATTAATTAGAATAGTATTTTTCAATTCAAATCTTCTTAAAATATATATTATATCTTTTTAAATTACCTATAATAATATTATAAATTTAATGCATAATTTATTAATATCAATAAATTCATTTTTAAATTATTAATATTATTTTTTTAATTTAATAATTCTTATATATAAAACTAGCATCAATATTTTTAAAAGTAATTTGTATTATATTTTATTAATAATATATTTATCTTAATTTAATTAATTTTATTATTTTTTACAATAAATTCTAATATTTTTAAATATTATTTATGTAGTAAAAATAATATAATTATGTTTAGTATATAAAAATTAAAAGTCATATATACTAATTGATAAATTTATTACTAAATAAAAATTATATTAGTTCTTTATGTAAACTTGCTTTTTTATATATATATAATTTAACTATTTTAATAATAATTTGTACATATTTTATATGATGTAATATGTATACACTAAAAATGTATACATATGCATATTGTGTATATTATCACTGGATTCATTTTTTAGTAATTTTAACGTCTAAGTTGAAAGGTTATAGCAATTGATTTTATTTATTGAAGTTTATAATCTTAAGATTTTCTTTAAGTTCCACTTGTATTTATTATATTTAAATTTATTTGGCAATTTATTACGTCTTAGAATTTAAGATATGTTTAATCAAAATCATAATGACAAACTTAAAAATAAGCTAATATAGATATTATAATAAATCTTAGATGAAAAATAAAGTTAAATGAAAAGTAATTTATGTAATTTTCAATTGATTCTTTATTAATAACTTGAAACTAAGAAACTTATAATTGAGTTTACAAACTTACAAAAGAGTTAATTTATAACTTAAACAAAAAAATACATTTTATATAAAATTATTCTACTATAACTAATTATTTGCTAAACTATAAAATAATAAAAACTTATAAAATAAAATCTAATAAAATATAATAAAAATATTAAAATAATATAAATAATAAAAATAATAATATTTTTTAAACTGTAAAGCAGGCAAATTTGCCTGTTATCACTGTGAAATTTTTAAACTTGAGTTAATTATTTCTTTAAGTCTCTACTTGAGATTATTAACTGCAGTTTACTGTGATTAAGACGTTAGGATTCACCTAATACTTAGATTTACTAAATTTACATGTTAAATTTAAAAAAATCTATCAAGTATAAAGATTTGAAAGACAAGATTATGAACAATTTAATTAAAGAATTTAGATAATGAACTTAATTACAAATAATATGTAGAAATTACGTCAGACTATATAAAAATACAAAGAGGCAGAAAAT